CAATGAGATTGGCACAGGATAGAGCACGGTTTAGGGCTGTTGTACATAGGGTCGCTATGAGTCACAAACGACTCAACGGCACATAACAACAACAACAACATGCCCTATAGCCTCAAATTCACTATCAACTAAGGATAAAGATCCCTACTTAGTCCTTTTTTACTTTGTGTACCTCCCACAAACAGTAACTACCTTTTTATATGAACAGATTCTCACATAACTGATCCTAGAGAGAATTCTGGAGAATTTAAATAAGAGTCCTCCTTTAAAGCTAGTGTTTTGAAAAATTGGAAAAAGAAAAAAAAAAAGCTGTTCTATTCTACTACTCGCTTACCATGCAATGTTCCCAGGAAAGATTCATCCAGTGCATTCATCAGCAATGCCTTCACAACTCTTTCAAAGTGATCATAGTGATCTTGGAAAGAATCTGAAATTGTAAAAAAAATATTAGAATGTAACAAATAAGCCACCTCCCTGTGTACACAGTAAGTTCTTTTCATTAAGACTAGGAAATTAAATTAGTTGCTATAAACAGCAGAAATAGCTTGATTATTCTTATTTAAGTTACGTTTGCAATCTGTCTCTCACTGCTGTTAGGTCAGAATTGAGGACTCATAGTTGATCATCTGGCAAGTTTTTGGAGCTGTAAATTGCCTAGGTAGAGATTATCCACTTCCTCTCTTGGGGCCATTGGTAGCTTGCAAAAGCCAGAGAGCTGTGGCCTTTATGTTAATAGCCTAGCTCCCTACAGGCTAGACCACCAGAGCTCCAACTTGTCTAATCCCAGCAAATAACCGTATTCTAAATTTCCTAACTTCTACTCCAAAGTTTCCAGTTGTCACCTTAAATAATCCCAACTTCTCAAATTCGAATTGCTGCTTTTAGGTTCTGTTAAGTTGTGTATGACTCATAGCAACCTTATGACCAACAGATGTGAACACTGTCCTATTTTGTGCCAACTTCATTATTTCTCCCATACATAAACCCACTGCTGCAGACTCTATCAGTCCATCTTGTTGAGGGTCTTCCTCCCTTTTACTGACCTTCTACCTTTCCAAGCATTATATGCCTTTCCAAGGAATAACCTCTCCTAATAACACACACAAAGTATGTTAGATGAAGATGCAAAAAAATTTTCATGTAACATTATGAAGCCTTATTTAAAAAAAATCAAAGTATCTCTTGTTAGAAATCCTTGTCCTTAGAAAATTTAAATATCAACAATTAGAAAAGAACAAGAAAGCAAATTTATAAAGAATAGTCAATATATCTAAGAAATTATTCTATTCCTTATCTTAAAAAGATCCAAAATATGAAATTGTTCAGAGAACTGCTACCCTCGCAATAAACGCAGTAACATGAAAAATTCTACTTCCCTGTTAGGATGTCCTATAGTCTGTATCAATTTAGAAAAGTTGTAGGTTTCCTCCTATCTCATACATCCATATAAGCCTGTTATTCCAATGATCCATTTGGTCTGGTCCCTGAAATTATCTCTTGTTAATATGAGAGAAGGTTCTCAAAGTTTTCCCACTAGGCTTAGGCCAAAGTATTCTATAAGTGTGGAAATGTTCTTTGATAAACATGATCCTTTCCTTGATCCAATGGCTGTTCTACCACATACATTCTGTTCTAGGTGCCTGTGAAGATACACCAAGAAGAACGTATTTCAAATAATATTAATAATGAATAAATTCCTGGCAAAAGATTAAAGTAAAGTAAGACCTAGCTGTAGTGGGTGGTTCGAATCCACCATCTACTCTCTAAAGGAGAAAGATGGGCAATCTTCTCCTGTGCAATTTATAGTCTCTGAAAACTTGTTGTAAGTTTTCAGAGTTTGTTCCAAATTGGAAGCAATAAGTAGTATTAGCATTCATGAGTGGATCCCCCCCTCCCCTTAGTTAAGTAGAAAAAACAAACAAACCATGGGCTTGGGCATGGAGAAACATATTTATGTCCACTTTGGTTTCTGAAAAAGAGTTATACAACTCTTCCTTGGACTTCAAGAGGTATTTTTAGTATACATTCTTTTTTTTAAGGAGGTAACTTTATTGACATACTAAGTGATCTAAATAATATAGCAATAACTCTAAATGACAACAGTAGATAATTTGCACTGGTTCCCTTAGACTTTCAAAAGCCTTTAACAAACTGAACTTACAGAAGAACTGATCATTAACATTAAAGAATATAGTTTGTAAAAAAAAAACAAAAAACAAAACCCAGTAAAACATTAGTTGGAAAAAAGAAATAGAATGTAACATGGAGTAGACTCCGATCCCATTCTGAATGTATGCAATATGGTGCTGGTTGTTGTAGATTGCCTTTGAATCGAGCACAACTCATAGCGACCCTATGAACAAAAGTCCTGAAACCCCTCTACAATTATCGCCATTTATCAAAGTTCATAAAGTTTCCAGAGACATATTATTTAGGAATTGGATGCCACTCCTGATACATAATTACTGAGTGTCCAAATTTATCTAAGGAGACCTGGTGCTATAATAGCTAACCAAGTAGTTGACAGTCTACTTTCATGAAGATTTACAGTTGTGGAAATTCAATGGGCAGTTCTGCTCTGTCCTACGTGAGCTGGAACTGACTCCAGGGCAGTGCGTTTCTTTTGCTTTACATTCATCTAAACTCTATTCTCAACTCAGTTCATTATCATGGAGACAGAAAGATCATAACTGACTCACGATTGGGTTTCTGAGGATGTAAACTGCACGAGAGGAGAGTGCTCATCTTTCTCTCAGGGTGCTGGTGGATTTGAACCTCTGCAGTGGGAGGCCTGGCCTTTGGGTTAGCAGCACAATTCACTACAAACTATGCTACCAAAGTTCTCAATTCTGGCTATGTTGTTGTTATCATGCACTGTCAAGTCAGAAACAACTCATAGCTGACCCTCCCGTGGGTTTTCAGAGGCAGTAAACTGCATGATAGGAGATAACTCATTTTTCTCCTATGGAGGAGCTAGTGGATTTCAACTGTCTGCCTTTGGTTTGACAGCACAACTCCTTGTCACTAAGCCACCAGAACTCTTTTAACTCTATTCTAGCTCTCCTTAAAATGTAACAAGGGAACACTATTTTGGGAATATTAATAGCTATGGGGGGGAGGGGGCGGAATAACCAAATCTATCCCCAGGGTACTTAAGTTTCATTATCAAATAAATTGAAATTGGACTTTTCATTTCACTGAATTTGGTCAATTTTATTCTGAATGTGCTCAATGTGACTCAAAAAAAGAAATACCTCTCGTGTTTCATTACAAATTGGAGGTTGGCTCTTGGCATGTGAACGCTAACTAGATCTACAACCTCTTTAGAGCTGTAGTGAAATGGAATACTACTGGCCTGGCCCTCCGATCTCCATCTTAACTTTTTTAAAAAAAATATTAGTTTGCATACAAAATTCATATAGATTGTGTTTCATTCATATATATTGAATTTCACACATACCTTTACTTACATTGTGTCTAATATGATGATTTCCATACATTGTGTTTATAGAATTAATTGCCATTGATCTATGCCCACTATTATCCCATCTTTTCAAGTCTACACTGCATCGCTCCTAATTTCTTGACCCCCACCCTCCAACCAACAAACTCAGCAATTCTGTGATTTCCTTCCTCCCCACCCTCAGTTCCCCTGCCCTCTCCCCTTCCCCCTCTGGACTTTTATATACATCTTACTAGTTACCTTTCTATTTTTACAGTAATGGTCTTATGAAGCATTTATCCTTATGAGACTGAGTTAGTTCACTCAACATCATGCTCTCTAGTCTCTTCAGTGTTCTAAGCCATCAGAGATCCCCTACGATAAATATATAGTAATACTAATAAAAACTAATGACAAATGGGAAGCAAGACTATTATTGTCTTCAACTTTTTCTACTTTGCAGTAGAGGGCTAACTTATCCTGTTTTTAAGTAGAATATATAAATCTCTCAGAGTCAGAAAGAAGAGTGAGGAAGTAACATTCTTTCCTACAGGCAGACAAAAAGGTAGACCACAAGAATGGTGATTCTCAATTGAATATTGAATTTAGACTCAGGAGATGGTCCTCTGAAATTCTGATCCTATGTTAAGTATGAATAGTTTCCGGTGCTGTTACAGAGGCTCAGGGGAGAATAACTCTAAGGAACACTACTAGCCAACTCCAGTTCAACCCCGACCAGAGGACAGGGTTCTCTATTAATCATACAGATTGTTGCTTTGATTAGAAAACAGATTTTGGTTCCCAAGATAAGAATTACCCTATAAGAAACTTCTGGAACATTATTATTTGATAAACAAGAAATGCTCTAGGCTAATTTTCATGTCTTTGCATATGGTATACTCAGTGCTAAGTATTAAACTATTAGCCAAATTATCAATTTTCTCAAATATGCAATTCTTTTTCTCGATGCTTTAAAACTTCCAATCGTGACACATTTTTCTAAGTATCTCAAACGCTAAAATCCAGGATCCTCTGGCTAGAGAACTTTTTTAAACCTATCCACTTAATTAATAACCAATTACTATAATGTGCCAGAAACTCTAAGGGTTCTCAGGAATACAAAGCCAAGGAAAGCTGATTGACCATTTTTTTAAATTATTTTTTTTAAAGAGAGGTATCAGTTGATTTAACTGAATGAGTTTCTTCCATTACTAAGGCCTACTGTTTGGTGTATAGTTCTGTTTCAGCAAATGCATGTAATGTAATGAGCACTATAACCAAAGGAAGGGGAGTTCTGTCACTGGTCAAAACTCCCTCACGTGACTCTCAATGATTCAGGTTTGTACATATTAAATTGACAAGCAACTCCCTAATAAAGACAATTACTAAGATGAAAATTTAGCTCTTGTCTTCAGGAGAAATCTGGACTGGAGAGAAAAGCATAAAAAGATTTTGCCTGTAGATTGGACTGGAGTTATAGGTAAGAGGCTGGAGTTACAGGTCAAAGCAAACAAAGGTAGTCTGGGGGTTGGAGCCCTGAAAACATCCACAGATACGTGACAAGTGAAAACAGAAAAAAGAAGAAAGTAATGTTATAAAATTAAAGGTGGGAGAGCAGGACAGCACAAGAGGCAGAAAAGGGACAACCTTCTGAAAGTGAGAGTCAGTGGTGGCACCAAATAGCAATGACATGTTAATACAGGAGCTGAAGAGAATTTCAGCAACTAGGAGGTTGTTACAACTTAAGTGAGAGGAATCCCACTACACTGATGGGTACAAGAACCAGAGCACAAAGCGCTAGTGGGTTACTAAAGAAACCGAGCCAAGATTTAGAAAAGTGGCTAAAAAAGTCTGTCAAGTTAAGGAAGGAAAGGCACAAACATGGTTACAAGTTTCAGAAAGACCTTGGTGGATTCCAAGGGCCAGAGAGGTGTAGTCTTTTGTATAACAGTGCAATTCTCTGTGAACTGACTAGGTCATCAAAGATAGATAAAATTTTAAAACACCAGAAAAAGCAGATAATTAGAGCCAGATGAGAATTTGCAGTTAAGAATATACAAGGTAAAAGACCCTGCATAAAAATAAGAGAGATGCAAATCAAAACAACAATAAGATACCATTTCACCCCAGTAGCAGCAGAAAGTTTAACAGGACAGCAAGTAATAAATATTGATGAGGATGTGGTGACATTGGAACTCTCATATACTGTTGGTGGAACTGTAAAATGGTAAAACCACTCTAGAAGGCAGTTTGGCATTTTCTCAAAAAGCTGAGCATAGAAATTTCATATGACGCAGCAATTCCACTGCTAGGAATACATCCCAAGAAAATTAGAACTGTGACACAAACGGAGATTTTGTACACCAATGTTCATAGCAGCACTATTCACAATCACAAGAAAATGGAAACAACCCAAATGTCCAACCACAATCAAAATGGATTAAGCAACTGTATTGTATATTCATACAATAGAATACTATGCAGCACTCAGGAACAATGATTTCAAAAACTACTACATAACTTGTGAGAGACAGGAGAGTATTACGTTGAGTGAACTAACTCAGTCTCATAAGGGCAAATGCTACATAAGACCATTATTGTAGAAATAGACAGAAAACTAGAAAATATGTATGAGAATCCAAAGAGGGGAAGGAAGGAAAAGAGCGGTGAAGATGGGAAGGGGAAATCATAGGGTTGCACAATTTGGTAGATAGAGGCAGAGGGCATAAAAAAATGGGGAAAATCCAGTGGGGATCTGCAAAAACAGGATAATAGTAACATTAATTCAATGGTGATTAATTTTCTAAAACACAATAATGGGAATGATTGTATGAAACACAACGTGAATGAAGGATAGCGTGAAACAAAATGTATATGAACTTTGTAAGCAAAACAATAAAATAAAAGATAAGGTACAAAAACAAAAGGTATTGCATGAAAAATTAACTACATCTTCCCTGAGGCATAAACTCCAAACCAAACCCTCTCTCGTTGAGTTAGTTCTGACTCACAGGCATCCTGTAGGACAGAATAGAAAGCCTACAAGATGCCCAAGTCTGTAAATCTTTGAAGATACAGACAAGCCACATCTTTCCCCTATGGACTGTCTGGTGGCTCCAAACCAGTGACTTTGTGGTTAGCAGTCAAGTACATAACCACAGTACCACCAGCTCCTTTGGTGGGGATAAAGGTGGTCCAAGGTGTACAAATGTTTAATATACTGGCTGCTAAACAAAAGGATAAGAGATTGGAGTTCACCCAGAAGCACCACAGACAAAAGGCCTGGAAATCTACTTTTGAAAATCTAATGGAGTATGTTTCTACTTTGTCATAGGTGGGACTGGATAGCAACTGGTGGTGAGGTCAATGCAGTACTATAAAGCATATTACTTGCTTTTCTACTATGTTGACAACTTTACTGATAGTGCAAAAACATTGATGTGTAAAGCAGTTGGCCCCTGTATATGAACCACAGCAATAGCACCAAACTATTGGTAATCACTATGCTAATCACTGCCAGGACCTCTCAGATTAAAAAGAAAAACAGGAGAGTTTTAATTATTAAAGTCCTTAAATGTGTGAAAGTTCTCTTTAACTCTGTGAGATGAAACTGGAAGTATAAACCCCTAGATAAAATGCTCATTTATGCTGGGTAAGAGAGTATAATACTTTTTCCCCACAAAACTCCATTTTCATGAAATAATAATTTCTACTTGAAAGGGTGACAAAGTGGTTATTCACATTTGAGTATCTGCCAGACAGGTTCCGAATACTGAATGAAGTTCAATATTCAACTGAGGAAGTGACCTGTCCCTTCAAGGAGAATTGAGACTATTTGTTGTCAATTATAAAAAATCAAGCTTTACTACTGTAATTACAATTTTGAAAACATTTGCTTATTGTTCTGAGCTTGACAGCTTTTTAATACTTAATATAATTTTACATGACCAATGCAAAATGTTATAAAATCATATAGATTAAAAAAATTTGCTCAAACTGAAAAACAGACTAATGCATTACAATGTAGCAGAATAAAAGTTACTTTATATTATTTTAGATTCTACAGTGAAGCAATTTTTAAGAAAGTATCACTTGTTAAGTTTTGGTGTAGTTTCAAAGAATAGCAACAATTATTCTAAAAATATGATTACAATAATTCACCTTTTCCAAACTACACATTTGTGAGAGTAAATTTGTTTCCCCTACTAGGAAAGTGGTGTAATTCACAAGATTGAGAACTTTGTAATATTGGACTAAAGCCATGAGGCTCATGGCTGAGGTGCCTGTGAGCTCATTTCAGAAGCCATTCTGACTGTATTCAGCTACTAACCTGGATTACGATTTTGATTTATAATTTATAACCTTTTGATATCTCCAATATAGTTCTATGTGTTCTGTGAGCTACTGTATAGGGTTTTAGACCTAGCAAAGTGGTAAGATTGGTGTCAAGATGAGTAAAAAGAGGTACTGGAGCATGAGGGAGATGTCTGACTTCATCCCCATGTAGTTACTGATGCTGTTGAGAGGGACAGTTCTCCTTTGTGAAGTCAGTAAAGGTCAAACATGGTCATTCCCATGTGGCCTTTGCTCTTTTTATACCTACCTTCAACTAAAACAGCATTGTAACAAAAACTTTAATACAAATTCAGCTGCCTTCTATTGAGCTGACGGTTTAGGTAGTTGTGCTGTTAACCCAAAGACTAACCCAAAAACTGAGCACTTATGGCTGTGTGAATACATTAGCAGCTCTAATTAGCAGGGAGAAAGATATGCACTTTCCCTCTTGAAAACCTGATGAAACCTATGAGGCAGTTCTGACTCAGCAGCAATGAAAGAGTGTGAATGTTCATTATGTGAGCCATTAAAAGCAACTTTTAACATATCAGTCTTTTGGTTATGGAGGAAAATATAATTTATCATAAAACTAAGTTATCTCTTATTACGCAATGCATTTGTGATGCTATTTTAAATTAATCAAGTTAAAAAAATTCTTAGCTTTAATGTTTATATTGGTCAATATTGACAAATGCAATCCACATAAACAGATTTTTGGAGGGTGCTATAACAGATTATTTAATATAGATTTTCTGGCTATTGTGGGTATGACTTTCACTATATGTCTGGGTGGTTGTTGGTGGTGTTTCTACATACTGACTCATGTAACTGAGTACCGAGTCTGAGCTGACTCACTGCTGACCGTCCGTGAGTTTTTCAGAGGTAATAAATCACATGAGAAGAGATTGCTCATCTTTTTCCCATGGAGCAGCTGGTGGATTTGAACTGCATGCCTTTCAGTTGGTAGCACAACTCTTTACCCCTAAGCCATCAGAGCTCCCTACATGTCTGGATAGGACTGCGCAAATGTTAGGTGTCTGTGACCACCAAGGGTACTAGTTGGGTAGCTAATACTATAAATAAGATAAACAGCACTCTTTAGGGGAGAACATGCAAATAAAATGTAAAGACTGCTAACATGGGGGATAGGTCAGTTCTGCCATCCCATCAAGGCTTAAAATTAGCTGATTTAGAGGCAGAATACAGGAATCTAACTGTTACCAAGAAAGCAGAATGTGTCCTGAGATTCCTACATGAGATGGAGACACAGTAGTCTAGATTGCAAAAGCAGTAACAGCACTAGAACAACAGTCAACAACATCAGTAGCAGTGGTAGCAGATATGCTGAATAACGAGAGATTGATGTAAGGCAGAGCTGAGCTACATATGCCAACCTATGCAGTCAGAAACAAATACTTCAGCCTAAAATTACTGGTGAAGCAGGCGGAGGCACATAATTGGCAGAACCAGAACTTTGTAAAACTGGCCTGAACATGCCAGGGCCTAAAGCACCACAAGGCCAAAGATCTGAGATCTGCCTGCAAACCAGGCTCAGACAAAGTTGTCCTGATTGAGGAATTATGTTGTTAGTGTTTTCAACCTGAATTTTTAACCTGTTACTCCCCTAACAAACCTTATAATCTTGAGTATTGTCTGTGTTCCATGTGCCTATTGCAACAAATTATGGAACCCAATAGCAAAGGAGGAAGGGCTTTGGGAGGAATAGTTAGTGCTAGAACCAGGAGAAGATGTGGCACGTAAGGGCATGTCTGACCTTAAAGGAATCAACCTTGTGTTCTTGATGGAGATCCCTCTCTCCTTCATGGCATTAGTGGAGGAAAGACTCTGCCATCTTTATGCTAACTATGCTGTTTCTACATGAAATCTTTAATTTTTAAGACTGCAAAAGGTTCTTAGGACCAATAGAATAATGTGAGGATTTAGGAACCTGGAAATGAAACTGTAATTCCTAATCAGTGATTCAGAACACTATTAAAAGGTTATCTTGATAGAGCAAGTCATAAAATATCTTCTTGGTATTTAACTTACAAAGAGAATTCCGTTTAACTAAATTTAGTTGTGAAGCCAATTTTTCTTCTTGGCTTTCATTCTCTTCATCACCTTCCTGATCTTGAACTACGAAGCCATCAAATATATAATTATCTTCATCTCCATTATCTTCAGAAGTCTCTTCGTCCTCCTCCTCCTCCTCCTCCTCCTCATCTTCATCATAACTTGGACAGGATTCCTTTTCAGAGTCCTAATTAAATGAAAACAAATACTTAAGTATAATAATGTGTCTCTAAAAATGGCAGTATGAAAATGACATGAAAGATTAACTCTTCAAAAAAATGATAGAAATTTAAAAATATTCTTGTAAAATGTATATTTGAAATGGGGAAAGGATTATATACCTTGGATAAATGATTTAAAATGCTTAAAACAAACAATAAGGTCCTAAATATAGGTTCAAAGTGATGAAGATCATACAAAGCAGTCTTTGAGATTTTAAAAAGTGCTGAACTAAAACTCATGGTAAAACTATGTCAGACCCAATAGTACAATCAAACATGCTAAGGACAATTTATTAAAGCAAAAACTCTAGGATCACTGAGAACTAGAACAGACTTAACACTTGATTTTTATTAAAATTAAATATTTTGAATCAAAATATAGAAGGAGAAACAAAACCAACAAAAGAAAAACACACCTCATAATCTCTAGCACTGCTGCGTCTCTGACGAGATCGCTGTTTGGCGAGTTCTTTGAGCTTCTGGAGTTTGTCCTGCTTTTGTGCAGCAAAGGTCTTTGCATCATCTTTCTCCTCCATTTCCAGTGAAGAACATTCATCTTCAATCACTCTACGAGGTCGCTTGGCATCTACTTTTCTGACAACTATATCACTGTCATCACTGTCATCACTATCGTACATCACTAACGATGCCCTTTTTCTCTTTCCTCGCTTAATATTTTCTTCTTCTGCATCCTCCTCTATTATCTGTCCAGTGTTTTTGCTGACCTCATTCTCCTGACTTGGGCACCTTTCATGATCTGGTAAATCAGTACTCTCCTGATTGCTCTCGTTTTTTCTTTCTTCATATGTGACAGTGCTGCTAGTGTTAATGAGATGCTTGTTTGCCTCACTTTCAACTTTAATTAATTCAAGCTCACCTTCATTTTCTGGCTTGTTATTGCTATCAAGCCCCTCATTATTATCAAGCTCTTGACTACTACCAACACTTTCACTATTGTCAGTACTTTCATCACTATCATCAGACTCTTCATTGCTGCCAAACTCTTCATCAGTACTATCAAGGTCTTCATCATCACTCTCAAATATTGTTACAATATTACTTCTTTTGGTCCGTCTCCAGTCAACTTGGGATTTCTGCTCAGCCACGTGAGATTTAGACTTGCTTCTTGTTTCAGGTCTTCTAACGTGTACCATTTTCATTTAAGCTTCTATAAAATAGTTAGGAATATAACAATGATAACCAGATTACAGAAATGAATGCTTATGGTACCAATTACAATACTTGGTGTTATAAAATGACACAATGTTGCTGCAAAGGCAACATTGCATGAATTATTTGAAGGAAGATAGTAAAACAGTCATTCAGAATTTATTGAAAATCAATGATGTATTCTGAGTCATGCTATATCTTTTTCTGAAAGAGATTAAAAAAGCCATAGGCCTTGTCCTTCAAAATATTATTTCTATGTAGAATTAAAGCATATGATTGAGAAAAAGTATGATTTAGTTAGTAATAAATGAGTGACAAAAATAAGTGCCATATTATTCTTGGATGATTACCAGGGATGGAAGGAGAAAAAGATGTGTGTAAAATCAATAAAGAGATAGATATATATTAAGATAAGTGAAAGGAAAGAGAATATATAATAAGGAGATGACCAGCCTATTATCTCTAAAGAGAAGACAAAGTGGACAAGAAGTACAATCAATAAAGGTTAATACTATTACAGACCCAATTCTGAAAAAGTTATAATAATAAACAATCTTTAAGCACATTACGTAGGCAGACAGGAAAGATAGATAAGGACAATGAATGGATCAACACTCATGATTATACATATACTTGGCAAACAATATTTCTACATTTGTATTAGTATATGTGGGAAATGTTATGTGCCTTCGATCCACAGCGGCCCTATGTACAGCAGCTCTGAAGCCTGCCCTGTCCTGAGCCAGTCTCATTAATTCCAACACACCAAACCCCATTGCCCCAGTCACTGTATCAATCCATCTCATCCTGGTTTTCCTCTCCTGCACTGTCCCTCCACCCTTCTAAGCATGATGTTCTTCTCCATGGACCCGTCTCTCCTAGCTAATATATCCATGTATACAGCACAGCTAACAAAGGGAGAAGCTCTGGGTACTTCTTCATCACAACCCATCACCATGAGTGAATGAGCTGTTGGTCCCATACCTCAGGGGCATAGTCTCATTGGGTATCAAAGTCAACCAACACAATATAATCCACAAAGACAATGCTCTACATTTTACATTGTTGAGTAGTGACTAAGGTTCTTGAAAGTTTATAAGCACTCATTTAAGGTGAAACTATCAGTTTCTCCTTTTCAGGAAAAGACAAAAAGAAGTATAGATACACAACAATAATTATTCCAGAGGGTTATTAGACTCTATGAACCTTAAACTCTATGACTCTGAGACCAAAAGACCTAGGTATAGCTATGACTACTGACCACTCTAAAAGGAATCGCCATAGAAGGTTCTGTGAAGAAAAGGCAAAAAAAGTGGGGCAAAACTGAAAAATACAAAAATGGCCTGTCCTACTGGTCTAATAAAGACTTGTAAAATCCCTAAGACTAAAGTCCTACAAATCTGGAACAAACCTTATTGTATGAGTTTTGCCAAACTTGCAGTCAAACAAGACAGGCCTTTAAAATGAACAATAATTTTCAACTTACAGTCACACTAGCAATCAAGTAAGATAGGCCTTTAAAAAGAACAAAGACAAAAAAAAAGAACAAAGACACTCATTCCTTAGAGTCAACCATATACGATCAAAAGGGCAGAATCTGTCCAAGGATAAAGCTCAGAAGACAAAAAGGAGTAGGAGAAGAGGATTATTGAAAATGAGAATCACAGGGATGAGGTGGAGAAATACAGGTTTATACAATGTGTGAATGGTGAACGGAAAACCAATTAGCTTTGTAGATATTCACTCAAACAACAAAAAACCAACCAAACAAACAAAAATAAGTGCAATAGAACTGGTGGACAAAGAGTTGCACAGTCAATCCAAAGAGAGGTAGTTTGAATACACCAACGTGCTCTGAAAACCTACTGTTGGATAAACTGTGAGTTGGTTCTGAATAGGTGGCAATGAGAGAGTGACAGTTGTGCCAAGATGAAAGCTCAGTCTCTGTCTTTCATTGCTGTTGAGTCAGAACCAACTCATAGCTAACCCTCCAGCAGTTTCTGAGGCTGTAAATTACAAGAAAGAAAGAAAAAGAAAAAAAGAAAGATTGTTCATCTATCTCTTGAGGAACAAGTGGTGGGTCTGAACCACCAGACACAACGTGGCCATCATTTTATCAGCACAACTCCTTACTGACTACACCACCAGAGTAAGTCTATCACAAGAGATTTGATTGAGAAGTTACGATCTTATATCATTTTAAAGAACTGGTCACATTCCAACAGAAAGATTAAAAGATGTAGGGATTTCATGCAGGCAAAAATGATTAAGGAAAACACTTGTCAATGAGAAAGAGGATGGTATCTTCAGTACGTAAGTAAGAAGAAAAAGAGCAAAAAGGTTTTATACTGGAAAAAAAGCTAAGAATGTAAATATATAGAAATTTACCAGAATTATTCATCTTTTAGGCAAAGAAGGATTCTGAACAGAGAGAAAATATAAAATACAGCATAAAGAACTAAGCAAATTACAAGGAGAAACCTACAAAGCAGTAATTTATATAAGAAAGCAGCACAAACTGAGAGAATCTGCTAAGCTTGTATTCTCTATACATTTTAGTAAAATGGCAATCAATGGCTTTAACTCTTTCAGAGGTAATGCAAATTAAACTGCCCAAAAAGTACTGAGTCAGATTAAAAAAAAAAAGTTTCATGGCCAAAGGAGAGTATGAGCCTGAGGAAGAAAATAACTAATGTCAGATTCTAATTCAAAAGATGAAAGCCATTAAAATGATGGCACAGATGTATTAAAAGAATACTCATTGACTAGAAACAAAATTGGACCAACTGGGAAAACAGTAGAATTTATGTATTCCTAATGTTGCTAAGGAAAATATAAAATGCTAATATAATGGAATGAGAATGATCACGATGAAATGTGACTAATCTCCTATTAAGATCAGTATTCTAGTATTCTAACATAGACCAGAATACTTCTGGACTTCATAAAAAAAAAAAATCACAAGGTCAGAAACAACAAGGTCCAAAAATGAGTGAAATTTGGGGAGAGAAATGTGAGGATAAAGCTAGACTGATGGACAAAACCATTTCCTGCTTTTTAGAATGTACTCAATAAGGAATTCATACAGAGGTCATTTTTGGTATGCAGAATACTCAATTTGTTGAAATAAAATTTCAGCAAACTTCTTTACGGATATCTTACTTTTAGCAATAAAACTAGAGTAAACATCAATATTACCACATTTTTTTGCCTCATATTTAAGATCACATAAGGTACACAAAGTTCTGTGCTTTGCCAAAGAATGTAACCTCAAGGCACCAGTTTATGTAACAACTCTACACTTAAAAGAAGGTACTTTGAATATATACTTGAATATACATCAGCAGATACATCCTTTCTCCTCGGCTCTGAGGTTCATTCTAAGAGCTTTCTACTTGCCATACAAACATTACAGGTGGAGTAGTTTACACTTTTAAAATCTGAGGAGCAGTGCGGAATGATAGCCACTGCCTGAAATCTTGCCATAAGAAATGAATTCGTGTTTGTAATTCATCACGCCCTCCCTCCATAAGGATTTCTTTCATATGGTAAATACAGGTTGGAAAGAAAATATTGACGCAAACTGGACGCTTACTATGTATCATCACATATTGGGAGCTGCACCATTACTATAAAGAATCAAGGGCGCAGTTTCTGCTCGCAAGGAGCTCACAATCTGTTTGATACAATATCTTCACAAACCCAAAAAAGTCTGCTTAATGCTCAACCAAAGGGCTTACTATAACTTTCCCACCCCCACTTAGAGTTACAAGTCAACATTCCACGACTGAGGTCAGGGAAGTTTGGCTTTTGGGATCATAGTATTAAAAATGTCTAATACTGAAGGCCGTTCCCTAGACTGTGCAGAGGGAAGTGGTAGGATGTAACCCTCAGTGTCACTTTCATAACAAACCTGGACCTCTGCTACGCGCAGGCATTCAGCGCAGGCCACCTGTCTGTCCCCTTTCCACTCTGCATCCAGGAGGGCGCAGCACGGCTGCTAGGATGAGGCACCCCGGAAGCCAAGTACCCCCAGGCCCGAAGGATTCCACAGCCAGAAAACAAGCGTCTGCAAAGGCAAGGAGGAACTGTTGGGGTTTCCTTTCTCCCTCTGAACCCTGCCCATAGCGGAAGTAAATGGGCGCCGCGCCACCTGAAAAGCGGAGGCAAGCGGCCCCGCCACCAGGGAGCTGGTGAAACAAAACCTCCTGTGGGCGTCTACCTAAAAGTCGCAGTTTCCTGGAGAATGAAGACAGCCTTAGAAATCCCAAGGGGCGGCTCTGCTCTGTCTACTGGATAACTATAAGTTGCAATCAGCAAGAGATGTTTTGGTTTTTTGGGTCTACAAGCACAGTGTCTTTTGCAAAGGACTGGTGCCTCCCGACAAGGCCAAAGATTTTGATCCAAAGGTTAGTCGCTATGAGTTGTATTCAACTTGAAGGCACAAAAATAACAACCCACTAACAAAGGAGCCTTGGTGGCTTAGTGCATAAATAATGGGGCTCGAATTCACCAGCCGGTCTACGGGAGGGGAGATGGGTAGTCTCCTTCCAGCCTCAGAAACTGGTCCCTTTAAATCGGACCCAACTATGATGGCAGTGGGTGTAGTGCCTCACATACTGCTCTGTGGAAGAAGGATGAGCAGCCTCGCAATCTGGGAGAAAATCCAGTCTTAGTGAACTGTGTTGTTAGGTGCCATTAAGTGAGAACGAACTCACAGGTGACTCTGTAGCGGGTTTTCAGAGGCAGTAAATAGTAGGGAGGAGATACTGGCAGTGGCTCAACCATTAGTTCTGTCTCTCTAAATATTGAAAGCCTTGGGAACCCTATGGGGCAGTTCTATTCTGTAATATAGGGCCGCTATGAGTCGGTATTATGGGCAGTAAGTAAACCACGAGCAGCCTGCTCAGCAGCGCTAGAGTGCCCGTCCCAGATAGTCTTGCATAGCCCACGAGCCCTCACCTTTCAAAACGCCTCCGCCTTTCTCTACCTCCTCCTAGGATCCCGCTCCCGGCTTGTAAGGCTCCTCCCCCTTCCGGGAACCAGGGGAAGTCCCGCCTTCGGGCGGGTCCAGGGGCGGGACCGAGCAGCGGGAGGGGCGTCTTCCGGGAGCGCGTGCTGGGGGAGTATCGGCTGCTGCGCGGCAGTAGGGACGGTGTACGGGTTCTGGTTGAAACTGAGGTGGGGCGAGGGGCCCGGCGGGCTATGCGGGGCCGGGAGGACTGTCCGGTCTGAGTCTGGGCGAGGAAGTGGGGCTGTGTGGCGGGAGGGCCTGGCACCCGGAGAAGGGAACAAACGTTACCGTCCCCCTGGGGAAGGTGGAGACTGGGCGCGAGCCCGACCTCTCCTCTGTGGCTCCGAAGCTCTTTGCCTTAACTTTGGGTCATGGCGGGTTAGAGGAGGGCGCATATTCGGAATCGGAGTGTAGAGAAGCTGTGTAGCCACGACTGGATTAGAGTCTTTCCCACGGCCACGGGGGGCACAGAACAAATGTCTGTAATCCGGATTAACCACGGTGCCCTGGGACCGCCTTCTGAACTGCCGCCCCTCTAAAGTTGAAGGCCGGCTCCCTCAGCCTCGCTCCCCCACCTCCTCTTCCTTTACCACCTCTGCCTCTCACACCCAGCCGAGGAGAGGGCTCAGGGCCCCCAGCTTCTTGTTCAGGCTGAAAGTCTATGCAGAAGGGAAGATTCTCTCCATCGCTTTGAGTGACTGTGGGGTTGATCCCAAAGTCTCATCATGTCAGGGAAACGGAAGCGTGTAGTGTTGACTATTAAAGACAAGCTTGATATAATAAAGAAACTTGAAGACGGAGGTTCCTCCAAACAGTTGGCAGTTATTTATGGGATTGGTGAAACAACAGTTCGAGACATAAGAAAAAATAAGGAAAAGATCATAACGTATGCAAGCAGTTCTGATTCTACAAGTCTTCTGGCCAAGAGAAAATCTATGAAACCATCCATGTATGAAGAACTGGACCGAGCAATGCTGGAATGGTTCAACCAGCAGAGGGCAAGAGGAAATCCCATATCTGGACCGATTTGTGCAAAAAGGGCTGAGTTCTTCTTTTATGCTCTGGGGATGGATGGTGATTTCAACCCTTCTGCGGGTTGGCTGACTCGTTTTAAACAGCGGCACAGCATTAGGGAGATTAACATTCGAAATGAGAGGCTAAATGGAGATGAGACTGCTGTAGAAGAGTTTTGCAACAATTTTCGAGACTTTATTGAACAGGAAAATCTGCAGCCTGAACAGATCTATAATGCAGATGAGACTGGACTGTTTTGGAAGTGCTTACCTTCCAGAACTTCAGTGATTAAAGGCACCACGTCTGGGCACAAGTCTGTAGAAGAAAGAGTCACGGTCATGTGTTGTGCCAATGCAACAGGCTTACATAAACTCAAGCTTTGTGTTGTAGGGAAGGCAAAGAAACCTCGTTCCTTCAAGTCAACTGACACCTCAAACCTTCCTGTCTCTTACTTCAGCCAGAAAGGTGCATGGATGAACCTTTCCATTTTCAGACAGTGGTTTGATAAGATCTTTGTGCCACAGGTTCGAGAGTACTTAAGGTCTAAAGGCCTGCAGGAAAAGGCTGTGCTCTTGTTGGATAATTCACCAACACATCCCAATGAAAATGTCCTGAGGTCAGATGATGGCCAAATATTTGCCAAATATTTACCACCCAATGTTGCCTCATTGATTCAGCCCTCTGATCAGGGGGTCATGGCAACAATGAAGAGAAACTATCGTGCAGGACTTCTCCAGAACAACTTGGAAGAAGGTAATGACTTGAGATCATTTTGGAAGAAACTCACTCTGCTTGACGCCCTGTATGTGGTAGCAATGGCTTGGAACTTAGTAAAGCCAGTCACCATTAGCAGAGCATGGAAAAAGATTCTTCCTAGTATAGAGGAGAGAGAAACCTTGGACTTTGATGAAGAAGATATTTCAGTAGCTACAGTGACAACCATATTACAGCATACCAAAGGACTGGAGAATGTGTCTCCTGAGAACATTGAAAAATGGCTAGAAGTGGACAGTACCGAACCAGGATATGAAGTGTTAACTGACAGTGAAATCATCAGAAGAGCACAAGGCCAGACAGATGAATCCAGTGAGAATGAGGAGGAGGAAATAGAACTGATTCCAGAGAAACATATTAACCATGCAGCTGCTCTCCAGTGGACTGAAAATTTGCTCGATTATCTAGAACAACAAGGTGATATGATTCTGCCTGATAGACTGGTGATACGTAAACTTCGAGCCACTATCAGAAACAAACAGAAAATTACGAACTTGAATCAATAATGACATTTAGCTGTTGTGTGTATGACTTTTACCTCTTTGTTAAATGCTTTATTTTGCTGATGTTCTGAGTTCTGAGACACAGTCCTGTGAAATATGAAAATGTATTTGTAAGTGGGTTATGTGTTCTTTGTCTCTTGTTTGTGCAGATAGTCAAAATTAAGTCTGTACAAATGTGAATGAGATGCAGACATGGATTCACTTTTGTAGGTCTGTCACTATCCCTTCCATAACAGTAGCAGCTCTGAATTTCCTGGCAATAACTAAACAACCATGAGCAGTCTTCCCCTCAGTCTTGGTTGATTTGTGAGGGCTGCTGCCACATTGACCTTTTCATGTGCTAGCCATCTTAGTGGTTATCACTTTTCTGTGTCTCCTTAGGCTGGCAGAGTGGGAAAGATCTATATTATATCTCTAATAATTTGAAATGCAGTTCAGTAAGTAGAGGAAATAAGGATATAAAAATAAGAAATACACTTTGCTTTTATGTGGGTGATGGGAAATTATTCTGGAAATGAAGTAAATATACAATGAGCGATTGCTTAAGTAGTGAGCAACTTGGTATATGTAAAGTATTCTGATCTTTTGTAGGTGACTAGGAATTGGAAATTTGGATTATTTATGCAAAGGGAGCAATAGACTTATTTTAATTGGGTTTTTTTATGAATTGGGTAACTATAGATTTATTTATTCATCTTAATTATCACACAGGCTCTGTAAAATTATATGTAGTAGTAGGAATTTGACTTATTTGGGGAACAATATCCCAGGAACTTTAGTTATTATGTATTTTTTTGTATATTCTGAATACTTAGAAATGTTATCTATAATTTGGAAAATACTACCCTACCAGGCTGTTTTATTTGATATGAAAAGAAGGAATAAAGTTTATTATTCAGATAAATGGTGTTTATGGCTGGCTTGCTTTATGAAGAAAGCAGAAATAAGTACAGGTCATTTCAAACTCTAAGAATATTATTGTTTATTATTTTGACATGTAAGAAGAAGTTATTTTTTCTAAAACTGAATCCATTTAAAAGTCAGAATTTTTGCTTAGTATAGCCAATGTTTATTTAAAACATTGAAAATATTTTACCTATGTATATATGATTTTTATGTGTTCTGTGAGGTATCTAAATGTTTCATATTTGGTTCAAAATTTTTAAAATACTAATATAGAATTATTCTTTGTCATTTTAAAATGCCTAACTTTTTGTATTACTTTTTATTGTCTGATGCCTTCCTTAGAATTCTAAAACTTTATGTATATATAGAGGGTCAGCTATGGAGTTGGAACCAACCCATAGCTGACCCTCCAGTGGGTTTTCAGAGGTAGTTAATTGCATGGGAGGAGATTTTGCCCATTTTCTCCTCACAGAGTAGCTGGTGTATTTGAACCATGTGCCTTCAAAGTTGCAGCACAGCTTTTTACCAAAAGGTCACCAGTTGTATCTCATATCTTCATTTTCTACTTCTAGATTTATAAAAAGAGTTACCTGTGATGAGAACTGTGGTCACCAAGCAAAAGCAGTTTGTATCTACTAGATGCTCTGTGAGAGAAAGACAGGCAGTCTCCTTGCATGTGGATTATTGTTAGGTGCCATTGAGTCGTAGATGACTCATAGCGACCCTGTGAACGAAAGGCCTGAGCACTGTTCGCACATAAAGTTTCCGAGGCAGGTCGTTTCAGAAGTAGATGCCGCTCCTGCTTCCAGGCTTGTTTTAGTTGGGAAGCTCTAGTCAAACACTGTCCACCATGGGTACCCATTACCACGTTTGGCACATCACTGTCACAGTGTTCAGCATCTGCATGTGGGTTAGTGCCTCTAAAAACCCTCTGCAGGGTCAGTTTTGGATGGGTTCTGACTCAACAGTACTCAACAACATAGAGGGAAAAGGTTTTCAGAAGCAAATGCATGTATTCAATCAGATAATAATGTGTATATAAGGATTTATTTTTTAATGTATTAAACATCTTGGAATTCCTGTCAATTTTCTCACTTTTCAAATTGACTGTCCATGAAAGTCAGCTTGAATCATTGCCACCTCGTGGTACATCTGACCCTTTTAAGCCATGTGAATTTAACCTAGTGAAAAGGTCCACTGTTTTGTGGTTTGAAAATGAAACTCTAGCTTGTGAAATACTTCTTTTCCAGAAAGCTGCTGCTACCACCAGTAGTATAATTGTTCTGTTTGGGAGCCCTGAAGTGTTACCTGTTGGGTGTTGGAAAGGGTGATAGTTCTATTCTCCGCAGGAGAAAGATGGTCTATTTACTCCTGTGAAGATTTACAGTAAATGCGATGGAGAGGTCACCATAAGTTGGAAACCACTCAGTGGCAATAGGTTTGGTTCTTAAACACAATTATCAAAGCTGCCAATTATTACATGCCATTTTATGTTCTAAGGGCATACTTATTATCTCATTTAAGTTTAAGACCACATTATGAATTAAGTGATAGTATAGTATTTAGTGTCGGCTCATACTGTTAATTACTCAAAATCACTTGAGACAGGTAAGAATTTAAAGTTAGGTGTCTGAAGCCAAATCCTATGTTTATTCAACTTCGGCTCATCTTCATTCAATCTTCAATACTTATTCTTTGCTGTCTTCTCCTTTACCTGTTACAAGTGTCTAAATTTGCTTATCCAGTTTCCAATGCACATAGGGCAGCAATCTTTTATTCTTTAACAGGGAGCTCTGATGGCCTAGTGGTAAGGAGTCATGCTACCAACCCAAAGTCATGCAGTTTGAATCCACCAGCTGCCACGAGGGGGAAAGATGGGCAGTCTCATCCTGTGCAATTTACCAACTCTGAAAACCCGCTGAAGGGTCAGCTATGAGTTGGTTCCTCTTTAATGACAGTATTCAACAATAGTCTTGTTCCTTAACAGAGCTAGTGTTTGTCCTTCACTGTATGAAAGTGTCATTAACTGACCATGAGCAAGTGTCCAGTCTTTGTTTTGGGTCACTGAGATCCATAGGGTTTCTATTGACAGGTATTTTGGGAAGAGTAGATTTTCATGCCTGCCTTTCATGTCTTTTTTTAGTCTACAAGTTTACAGCAATAGAATACAATAGTCTACAAGCAATAGAAGCCACTGCTGACAGATAAGGGGTGGATGCATGTGAATCATATGTACTAGAAACTCATCATAGGTTAATACTAAAAGTTTTTTTGCATAATAAATGCATCTTTCTCCAAATTTCATAGGTTCTTAGTTCCCAAATCCAGTTACTGTTTTTTTCTAGGGATGTTGTTACATGCCATCAAGTCTCCTGCAACTCCTAGTGACAGCCCTAAACCCTGCTCTATCCTGTGGCAATCTTATTGTCTCTGACACACCTACCCTCTTAACCACAGTCACTGAACCAATCTATCTCATTGAAGGTCTTCCTCTTTTACACTGTCCCTCTACCCTCCCAAGCATGGCGTCCCTTTCCAAGGACTGATTCCGCTTTGCAACATATCTGAAGTATGTCAGGTGAAGCTTCAGGATCCTTGCCTACAAGAGCAGGCTGGTTTCACCCTCTTCAGGACAAACTTGTTTGTTCTAGCAGTCCATGGTATATTCAATACTCTTCTCTAGCACCACAGCTCAAAGGCATAAATTCTCCTTCTGTCATCCCTAGTCACTGTCCAGCTTTCCAATGCATAGCAAGTAATTGCAAAAATCATGGCCTGAATCCAGGCATATTTCAGTCTCCAGACTGACATTGTTGCTCTTCAGTACTTTGGAGAGGTCTCTGTTAGCAGACTTTTCCCAATGCAATTCGTCTCTTGATTTCCTGGCTGTTAGTACCAAGAGTGTTGATTGTGGAGCCAAGCAAATTAAAGGTGTTAACAATCTCAGTGTAAAAAAAAAAAAACAAAAACAAAAACAATCTCAGTGTGTTCACCATCTGTCATGATGCTGCCAATCAGCCCAGTGGTGAGAATCTTTTTTTTTCTTGATGTTGAGCTTCAATCCATATTGAAGGCAGTCCTTCCTTATAACATGCCCAGGGTTTGTGAGGTGAAGTCTCACCATCCTTGTTTCTCAGGTGCATTCTGGCTGTATTCCTTCAGGGACAACTGTCTTTGGGGCATATTTGATATTAATCATCTGTGGTAGATTTGATATAACTGTCTGTGGTATGTTTGATATTCTTTATCAATACGTAATTAAAAGGCAATCATTCTCCTTTGTATTTTTGTAATTAGCCAACTTTCAAGTAATTATGAGATGATTTTAGTCCTCAAAATGTCATCCTTTCTCTTTAGGACTTTAAAGAGATCCTTGGCAGCAGACTTGTCCAATGAAATACACACTTTGATTTCTTACCTGCTGCTACCATGGATATTGGTTATGGATTCAAGGAAGGGCAAATTCCAGACATCATCAATCTTTTCTCTTTATCATCATGTTGCCTGTTAATCCAATTGCGTGAATTTTTCTTTATTTTGAAATGTCATTCATATTGGCAGCTCTAATTTTTAAGCTTCATCAGTAAATGACTGAAATCTTCTTTGTTATCTGCAAACAGAATTGTGTCATCTGCATATCACAGGTTATTCATAAGTTGTCTTCAACCTGGTACCTTTTTCAGATATTTCAGTTTCTCAGATTAGTTGCTGAGCAAATAATACCTCACATAACCTTTTCCATATTTTAAACCATGCAGTAACTCATTGTTCTGTTTGAACAGTTTTTACACTGTTACCCATGTAGTGTATCACTGAACCAACTCACAGCTGACCCTCCAGTGGATTTTCAGAGACAGTAAATAGCTTGAGTGGAGATTGCCTGTTCTTCTCCCACAGACCATCTGGTGGATTTAAAACGGTGCCTTTGGGATTGCAGCACAATATATTACCACCAGGCCACCATAGTTCTCTATAGAAATAATTTTTTAAGAAAACCTACAAAAACTGCTAGATTTCAGAAATTCATCTAATCCTTTTTATATTTACTTGCAACAGACTATTTTCTGAGCTCCTGTCTTTCTAGTATTATTTGCTGAAA